TTCTGGCTTGCAGGCCCTCCATCTGCTCCTTCCTGTTCCGCTTGTATTTCAGCATCCTGATGAGCACCTTTTTCTTGCGCTGTGTCCACAGAGTTCTGTACCTTTGCCCTGCCTTTAACCTCCGCAACTCCGTCTTTCCCAGCACTGTTTGGGCTGGGTCTTCAGAAAGATCTTTCTTCTTTGGTGGTAAACACACTGTGCGCTGGAGAGCTGTGTCCGGACAGTGGCAGCCAGGGTGGTTTCTCTGTCAAACATGATGATCCCTTTGCAATTGCTAATATCTTTCAGTTGCCCCTGCTCCTTTATTGATCCCATCCTGTTTCCTTTTGTATTCATCAGAGTTAAGCAGCGTTTCTCTTTCTTACCAGTCTCCGTCTTGCAGCCCACAGTTGAAGTATTTGCCTTCTCAAGGGCACAGACCAGTTCACGGAAGGGTCGGTGGTTTGTTGGATCGCGGCATCCTCTTGACTGAAATGTGCTGCTGTAGTTTCCGTTACTGCTGCTAATGTGTACGGTCACTCGCTTATAGTTTAATATAAAGATGTGCTAAGTGCATTTCAGAATATGGTTTCTGGATGATAAGAGAAATTCATCCCATAGAATTTGCTACTGAAATGCTTATAAATTAAAGACAGAAGTGATACGAGTGGAGGTGACCGTAATTCCTAGTGACCCATGCTTTTACTGGCATCTGCAAAAGTAACATATTTGACTTAATAAATTACAAATGTCTTTCTTCTATGAAATCCTCCTAGTGGGAAACTCCAATATTTTAAATAGCTGAACTAGGTACTGAAAAAAAAAAAACAACTGGTTTTGTTTAAATGTTATTTTAAAACTAGCACAGGCTGTGAATAGACAATTTTTAAAAAGGATGCTTTGTGTATATTTAAACTTTGTCAAGTCCTGTAAAGTGGGGGAAATGCCAGCATGACATTCCTGTTAGTCATTCACAAGTTTTAAAAGCTGTTAGCGCTACCCAAAATATTTTTAATTCTTAAGATACATTTATATAAAGCACTGCTGATTTCTGATAACTGTCATTAATTTTTTTACTAGGAAAGAAAATAGACTGCATTCTCTTAAAGGAAAAAAACCAAAAAAAACCCCCAAAAAAACGAACCCCCCCACCCTGTGAAGTACTCACCTTGCTCTTACCTGCTTTGCCAAGGAGCAGCAGAAGTGCTCTCGTAGTAAAGTGAACTTCTGTCCTGGAAAGGCCCAGCAGCAGTAACGGAGAGGGAAGCGAAGCCCCTGCTCAGCAGCCACGTTCAGGCTGGGTGTGAAAGCCGTGCTCGGGACACTCCAGCCCTCCCCTCCCAGCAGGGCCAGTGGTGAGAGCCCCTTGGGTTCGTGCCCCCCGTGCCTTCCAGCCCACCCACGCTGCCTCGCTGGTCCCAGCAGCTCCCCGAGCAGCGCCCAGTGGCAGAACCGCTTCCAAGCCTTGGGAACCTTACACTCGCCTGACTATTTAGTGACATTTCACTTTGGGATCAGTAGTTTTCTTGATAATCTGATGCCTTCCTTTCTCTTTTTACCACTTTGACTGCTATCTTTGTACTTCAGGAAAGCACCAGAACACATTGTAGCTTATCAGCATTCACGACTTGGCATCTGACTCGGTATTTGGGCAGTGTGATGCTCAGCGTGCCTTTGGCCAACAATGTCTATTCAGGTAGGGCAAGAAACAGAAGGGGTTTTAACAACATGAGTGACAAAAGATTGTCAAGGGCAAATGGCTATGGTTTTTAGTGTCACATGCATTCAGATATGCCTCAGTATGTGAATAGGGCAGCTATGCTTCAAAATATTGTCTTCAAGATAGTATTTTTGCTCAGCCAGGGGGTAGTGGTCAATGGCTCGATGTCCAAATGGACACCAGTGACAAGTGGTGTCCCTCAGGGGTCCGTACTGGGACCAGTGCTGTTTAGCATTTTCGTCAATGACACAAGCAGCGAGATCGAGTGCACCCCCAGCAAGTCCACAGATGACACCAAGCTGAGTAGTGCAGTTGACGCAGCAGGACGGGATGCCATCCAGAGGGACCTGGACAAGCTGGAGAGGTGGACCCATGTGAACCTCACGAGGTTCAACAAGGCAAAGGGCAAGGTCCTGCATCTGGATCAGGGCAGCCCCCGCTGTCAATATATTCAACTTCCAGTCATTATCAACACCTTGAAGTCCTGGCCAAAGTATCTGGCGCATATGGTTGCCTCATCCCTCCAGGCATTATGCATATTACTCTTGCAAGAAAAAGCTCATGATAAAATGCAGTGGATCTTTGAGCATTACAACGATTTTCAGAAATACCAGTCACTCGGCAGAAATTGATACTTAAGTAAACCCACGAAAATTTTGTGTTTCAAGAGCCACACAACTAGCAAGACTACATTTTACCCGTTCAGAAATGTCAGCTCATATTGGTTCAATACTTTTCTCTCAATTAATTAAAACATTGGTTATCTTCTGCTTAAAAATATGTTTATTAAAACAACTGGTAAATTTTATGGAAATTTTCTGTGTAGTTGTTAAGCATTTCTGCAATGCTGTCAATGTGGCCGAACAGTGGAAAAACATTAATGAATTTCTTAGGAAACATTTGCTCTGGACTTCAGTTCTTATTTCACTGGTTACTTTGGGGTTATTTTAAAGCCTCTTAGCTGTGAGAAATCTTAGAGGTGACATCTTAGATCTGAAAATCCCAGAACAAGTGTTGCCAGCATTTTGGTTGTCAATACACAATGCCGATGTCTCTTGTAAATGAACAAACAGAAGAATAATGTAAATGCTTTGGGGCTTCAAACTAATCTCATCATTAGGACAAAGCAGTCTTCGTCAGCCTCAGTAGGAATTGCTGTAGCACTTACCAGATTGTGAAAATCCTCGGGTTTGGGTAGCGCTATTTACAGTGCAGCTCATTCCCAGTTCCTGTGCAAGATGAAAGATTACATTCCAGTGTTATAATGAACATGCATGTTCTTTTAAATCCAAATGTCTCTTGAAATACCTAACTTGTCGAATTCCTAGAAGCACTTGGATATCTAAAGGAAGGAGGATAACACTGTGCTCTTTGTCTACAAAGGAGATAAATTGTCCGGTGTCAGTTGGTGGACAGAGCAGAGTTTTGTCCCCGCTCTGTCCCTTCCACCTCGGGAGGGATCCATACAACGCAGACGCACTAGCTTTATGCTCAGTGATCTGATCCCTGTGTCACCTCTACAGATAACAACATTCTTTCACCTTGTAAATGCTTGCAGAATCAGGTCTTGCCACAAAATTTCGGTATCTTCCCATCGGCTGCACAGGCTGGGTAACTAACAAGAATAGCTCAAGGCAGCAACCTACAGCAGAATGCCCACCTGAAGAGATGGGCATCAAGCTCTCTAGCCAAGATAGACCTTCCTCCCAATAGCAGAGCTCTCTTTTCTAGTCCTTTTGCTGGAGACTGGGGGGGAGGGAGGGATGTCTGAGATGTTTCTCTGGCCATTAGCACTTACAATTGCCTGTGGCAGCAAGAGTCCTCCAGCGCTGTTTTGACTGTGTTGAACACTTTCAGTTTTGTTCCATTTCCCTGCAAGAGAGAAGGAACCTCAGCAGCCAAAGCGATATGGGAAGGTGTGCTTGTGGAAGTGCTAGAACACCCCTGTAAAAATCACTGATCGTTCTGAGTTGGCAAGACCCATGAGGATCCCTTACCAGTGATTCTTTCCTTCTTCAGCCACCACCACCTTCTCTCTTACCAGCACAGCTTATTGTTGTGTCTAGGGCAGGATTTGCCTACTCTGGTGAGAAATCCGGTGTGAGATTTGGCAGCTGGACAGCTTTTCACAGACTGAAAGTTAGATGGACAACTCAGTTTGTACAAAGGATCTAACTAGGTGAGGTGTAACGACATCTGTACAGTATATTACTGCTAATATAGTCAAACTGCTTCATCCCTGACAGCCCACAGCCTCTTAATAATTATTAATGCTGCTGTTTGTACTGCGGGCCTCGGTCGCTGGTGCCCTGTACCTGTGAGAAGCCCCAGAACGCAGGGCTGCAGGCGGCCAGCCTTCGCCTTTTTCTAAATAGCCTCGATACACATGGAAAAAGGATTGCAGTTTCTCAAAAGTGAATTAAATCCTTTTATTGTTGAAATAAGAATGTCCAGTGCCACTGTGAATAATATTTCCCCAGAAAGTAGATGCACTGTAGGAATAACAAATATTCTGTAGAGATAACAGATGCTTAGAACACACCGCAGTGAACGGAGTTCAGTATTAGTTCTGTTCATCTGGATAGCTGAATGAAGTAATTGCTGAACACTATTAGCCTGCCACATTTGGAAAGGAAATGTGCACATTTTTATTCGCCTCTCTGATATCCTGCTTTCTTTGCAGAAATTCTTACTTTTTTTTTGCATTAACTGCACTGCAGCCACACTACTTTTCAAGAAAGTGTATCGATAATAACAAGATCTTATTTAGTATTTTTCATTAATCAATAAAGATCCAGCCTTCCCTAGCAGAATTCCAACAAATAGCTAGGAAGCTGAAGTTTTAGTTTGCATTTCCATGTTCTAATTTAGCTGATGACCATGACGTGAGCCACAAAAGCACAGGAGAAAATCTTCAGAAATGTATCTTAGACAGAAGTGTAGCCAGTTCCTTCACATTTTGGGCAGAGCACTGAACAGCCTAAGAAACTTCATTTTCCTTATCTGCTATGTGCTTCCCACAGCAGTCGTATTCCCCGGAGAGGGGGTGCCCAGGTCTCAGACTGAACCTGTGTATTGCCTGAAGACTGGAAAGGGAGGACATTCTAAAATTGCTGTTCTTTTGCTCCGCTGACCCATATCCTGTCCTCGGGCACTTTTTTGGTGATATAGCATTTCTGCAGATCTCATGTGAGTTTTCTTAAGAACAACTAAGTAAGCAGAGGACTTGACATTCAGCGCAGACATGGAATCATTTACTTTGGTGCCATATCAATAGCTGATGTATGATTTGATTTTCCAGGTCATGGACTGTGCAATGCCTCTGATTGGTGAGCATCAGACTGAAGACAAGCAACATATAACTGATCTAGTCGTAAGCAAAATGAACCAAATGTTGTCCAAAACTCCCATACCGTCTCCTCAGAGACCCACTGCCACTCAGCAGCCTCAGGTAGGAAACTTTTCGTTTTAAAACAGAGCACCTTAGTCTATAATTTTAAGCTCAAAATTTTCCTCAAAGAATTTGGCTGGAAAACCGTGCAGACATACCCTGAACTACAAGGATTCAATAGCTTATCAACATGTTTTACAGGTTTGTCCTATTTAAATGAGATATCACCAGATATAATCAAGTAGTGCAAGTGTTGGTGTGGTTCTACCAGTAAACTGATAATTGTGGATTCAGTGAATTACTGGGCTTTGTATTGTTTCCTTTCAGTTACATCTGTATAAAATACCATGGAAATGATAAGAAGCACTGTCAGAGACAGTCTTTGCCCTGAGGATGTCAGAAAGAATACTGAGACAATCGTTCCGGTAGTTCTTGTGAGAAATGAATTACGTTGTAATCTTTTTTTCTGTGCTGCAGTTCACGAAAATACCTTTAAAATCTAGTGAACTCTTGAAATATGTTTGGTGTGCTAGAAAACTTGTGTCAAAGGTTGCAAATGGATGCATTTCACTTATTTTTTCTTGCACAGCCTGACAGGTAAAGTGTGGGGCTTGCTACCTTTCAGACTTTGGAAATCATGTTTGTGTTTCCATTTCCACACTTACAAATGTGAAGTTTATTTCCTTGATCCTTTAAATATCTTCTGAACGTGTGGTATTTTTGCGAAAGTGTTTAGGAACGTGAGTTTTGCCTCTAAATTGGAGAGATTCGGATTTGACGAGTGGACTGTTAGATGGATGAGGAGTTGGCAGGATGGCCGCGTCCAGAGCTACGGTCAACAGCTCAGCGTTCAAATGGAAACCAGTAGCAAGTGATGTCCCTCAAGGGTCTGTACTGAGACCAATACAGTTTAGTATCTTCACTAGTGACACATATGGTGGCATCGAGTACACCCTCAGCGAGTTTGCCACCAGGCTGAGTGGTGCAGTCAATATACGCTGGAGGGAAGGGATGTCGTCCAGAGGGAGCTGGGTGGCAGGGTCCTGCCCTTGGGTCGTGACAGTCCCCCAGTATCGGTACAGACTGGGGGATGAATCGATTGCGAGCAGCCCTGCAGAGAGGACCTGGGGATACTAGTGGATGAAAAACTGGACCTGAGCAGACAATGTGTGCTCGCAGCCCAGAAAGCCAACCGTATTCTTGGGCTGCATCTGAAGAATGATGAGGCCAAAAGAGGCGATTGTCCCCCTCTACTCCACTCTCATGAGACCTTACCTGGAGTACTGCATCCAGTTCTGGGGTCCCCAGTGCAAGAAAGATGTGGACCTGTTAGAGCAAGCCCAGAAGAGGGCAACAAGAATGATCAAAGGGTTGGAACGTCTCTCCTATCAAGAAAGGCTGAGAGGGTTGGCGTTGTTCAGCCTGGATAAGAGAAGGCTGTAGGGAGACATTATTGCAGCTTTTTGGTACTTAGAAGGGGCTCATAAGAAAGATGGAGAAAGACTTTTACCAAGGCCTGTAGAGACAGGACAAGGAGTAGTCTTTTTAAACCAAAAGAGAGTAGACCTAGATTGGATGTAAGGAAGTAATTCTTTACGGTGAGGGTGGTAAGACATTAGAACAAGTTTTCCAGAAAAGTTGTGGATGTCCCAGCACTGGAAAGGTTAAAGGTCAGGTTGGGCAGGGGTTTGAGTATCCTGATCCAGTGAAAGATGTCACTGCTCATGACAGGAGGGGTCAGACTAGATGGTCTTTAAAGGGTGTCTTCTAAGCCAAACCATTCTACGATTCTGTGATTCTCTGAAAAGTACAATATAAATGCTACATAGCATCTTTTATGTCTTGGTAGCTAGGCAGCAGTTCTGATGAAGAGCAGCATTATCAGCTACAACTTTCACGTAGTTCTTTCAATATGCTGAAGGAATAAACGGTGACAATACGTTCTGACATAAACTGTGAAGGACTGTATTGCTGCTCTGTGCCAGCGCAGCTCCGTGGTGATCCGTTAAGCAACAGAATAAGCCAAACTGTAATACAGGAATTACCAAGCCTAAATCAAGAATCTATTTTTTCTCCCAGTAGGCTCCACACCAGGTAAACAATTTGAAAACAATTTTGTGGCATGCCTCAGACAGACTAGTTCTTGGGGCAGAATGACTAATTTGTTCTTCAAATATATCATCATGCTTTAAGTTACAAAAATACATCATCCCACATAAAAAAGTGGTGTGGCTTCTATTTATATTACAGCCACTTGAAACTAAGCACAAAATTGTTTCAACCACGGAACCACATACAATGGAGAAGTTTCCGTCCAACATGACTCAAGTCCATTGTAAAGAACACAGAAAAAGAAAGACAAGGAGGGGAAAAAAAGAAATCACTTATGCGAAAATACAGTTGCTTTTAGGACCGGTAAATTAGCCATATATTAAAATGAAGCAAAGAATCAAATTTAGAGTTGTCCAGGGCATACAGGTCAGCATAAATCAAAATTTAAAACAGTAGTAGACATTACTGTAACATTAATAGATTCACAGTCATTTAGAGCATTTGAAATTTCAATTTTCAGGACAAAAATACAAGGTCTTGTGTAGGCATGCTTCTCCGGATTTGAAAGAAGACAAGGGAGGAGGAATGTTTAGAGTTACTGGTGTCCTCCACAGAAGCTGGTTATCTGTTGTATGTAAATGAAGTTTTTACTCATTTCCAAAGAAAGACTGCCTACAGAAGTCCAGTATGAAAATAGGACACAAGGAACATTTTAAGAAAGTTCCTAAATTCATCAGTCATTGCTGTCACTCGTCACGTCCATGAAAAGGTTTATTTCCTCTTAAACGAAGAAGCTTTGGATGAAGCCAAAGATCATACTTGCTGACTAGCTGCTGAACTTCTGTTAGATTTCTGCTTAGTTCAGGTTACTGAAGAATTCAGCCTTTGCTAATGGCAACAGGATGTTATTCAACATTAATCTTCTTTTCCTTATCCTGTCTTTAAGTTATGGATTGCAGTTGACCAAAATCAGAGATATCCCTTCAGAATATTTGCAATATTTGTTAGTTTTTCCTCTCAGTTAATCAGACTCTGCTGCCTTAAAATTTACTTTGTCGTATTACCCACCATTTTAGGACAGACAGAGGGGGTCTGAATTTCTACAGAAGATATTATTTGCAAATACCCATTAATCTTCCCAGCTTTAAGGGAAAATGGTGAGACAGGTCTATAGTATTTAAAACAGGTATCTCCTCAAGCGCAGTTAATTTTTAGCTGGGTTGTTTTTGTGAGAACAAAATCAATCTGTTAAAACAAGCTGTCCCTTTCATCTTCGAGCAGTCTTCTCCTGTTCTAATCTGTGCCATTATTTCCTGCTCTTGAGAAGTGCCGTGCATCCACTGGCGGGGCAGGGGGATACTGCGTGGAATGCAAAGCCAGTAATTTATCCCAAATTGCGTATGTGCATATGTATGTGTGGTCTTAGAAACCAAAGTAATATAAATATTAGAGAGTAATCTGTGTGGTTTGCTACTTCTGCTTTGAAATGAACAGTTTACAGTCAATAGTGCAGCTATAGATGTGCCATGTTTTGATTTTCCTTATCTGCATGGGTTTCTAAAAATAGCTTATAATCTGCCCACCTCTGTGGCACTGGGTGCATTGCACATAAAAGAATGCTTCAGTTTGTAAATGCCTGCAGTGGTCAGTACTGCTCCAATTCACCAGCCGTCAGAAAGCAAATCAATAATTAGGAAAATAAGTCTTTGTTTAGAGCCGTGCAGCCAAGTCTTGATGGAAGTGATTGGCCTTGCGGTATGTTCTGAAGGGCAGCAAAATTCTCTGGGGCAGAGTGCCAGAAGGAGCGACTTCCAAAGGCAGGGACCTCAAACTTGCTTGTGTTGAAACCTCAGAGGTGCAGATCCTGTAACTCTGAAACCCATTAAATCTATGATCTGAGGTATCAGATACATTGAGATTTTTTCCATATATATTTTCTGTGTTGCATATTTATTTATTTATCTGCAAAGACATGCACAGGCTCTGTAACGAGTTCTGCTGGTGCACAGAATGACAGAGAACCTGTGAAGGAGGAGAGGAGCCGTTCATGGCTCCGTGCGTTGCACCTCGTGCCACCGGCCTCCGGCTGCAGCCCACACAACGTGTCTCCTGCCTTGTTT